GTAGCTTTCTTTGGCCTCCTCCGTAAAGCTAACTTGCTATGCAGAGGATTAACACATTTCAACCCATCAAAACATCTGCATTGAGGGGACATCCTCTTCTTTACGGACTGGACCATCATTATCAACAGATGGTCAAAAACAATCCAATTTAGCCAGCGCATTTTGACTATTCCTTTACCACGCATTGCCCAGCACCCACTCTGCTTTTATACAACTCTCAAGCATGCTTTCAGCTTAGTACCAGCGTCCTTATCAGGCCCAGCCTTTGTCATTCCAGCTTCAACCAAAGGAGGTCTGGTCCCTCTGACATATGGAAAGTTTAACTCCCTACTTAAATTATTGACAACCACCATGAACTTGAATCCATCTAAATTTAGCAGACATAGTTTTCGATCAGGCGGGGCCACTCTGGCCGTTCAAGCTCAAATCCCAGCAGAACTTATTAAACGTTTAAGGAGACTGGCAGTCAGATGCGTATAGATCTTATATTCACATCCCAGTTTAAGACAGAATGCAAGCAGTTAGTCAGCTGGCTTTGTTTGTTTAGATTTTCTTCCTTCCTCTGTTATTCGTCTGGGGTTAGGTCGTTCCTCCCTTAGGAAAATTTCTATTAAATTGAAGGGATCACTTCCGAGCCCTTCCCTTTTACCCCAGACTTTATTGTTGTAGTTTTGTTTCTTTGCCTTTTGTTTAGAGAGTTAAGTCTAAAATAATTACATTTATTTGTATTTAACTCTGGAGGAAGGGAGAGAGGACTGGTACTAGTTTTCTCTGACATGTGCTCTATGCACTTCATTCGCCATGTGCTTGTGCACAGCGTAGCTTCGCTCCCCCCCTTCCCCCCTAATTATTTGTTGCTGTTATATTTCTTGTACATTTACCTTTTCCAGTTGGAAAAATTTCTATTAAATGGAAGGGATCACTTCCGAGCCCTTTCCCTTTTACCCCAGACTTAATTGTTGTAGTTTTGTTTCTTCGCCTTTCGTTTAGAGAGTTAAAAAGACATACGTCCAGAATAGCTAGGGTGACAAAATTGCAGCAGAACATGGAGTAGTAAAGGCTAAGGTTCTTGGGTCACAGAGGACACTCCTGCCCAACAAATCATAGAGTACTCTCCCCTCCCTTCCCCCCTACCTTTCCTTCACACCCAGATCTTGATGTTGATCTGCCTGCTGGAAAAATGTGCATGTATTCAAGTCATACAAGTTCACAAAAGTTTTTTATTGCATTTCATTCAAGGCTATAGGTAAGGTTTCTTATGAGACGACACTTCTTTTCCAATGTGGAACCGCTTATCTCTATATATATTGCACGTAAAATACATCAAAATAAGTAGACTCATTTGCAAGCATTTTCAGTGTTGATCTGAAAAATCTGTCGACCCATAAATGTGTTCCAACAATAATAATAACAGCTTTATTGAAGTGTCCATGTATTTAGTATCAACTACTAACTGGGGACAAGCTCACAGGGCGTTTCTTTCCCTTTGTTATCTTTTCAATCAGGAAGCAAAAGAGTAAACAAAAGACAGGGTAAAAATCATTTAAGCTTATCAAAATCAAGTATTTGGGAATTTCTTTCCAAGTTTTTGTGCATTTCAGATCCCACTTAGAGTTCAGATCAATGTACTAAAATAATCAAGACAACTATAGAGAACACAACTTTAATCTAAACTTAACTTGAT